ATGGGAATTAAACAAATTGCTTATATTCAGCAAAAGAACACATTAAATATGCAGAAGATTTCAACTCTTAGGCCTTTACAAACAGCCAGGGGTGTTAATTACATAAATACAGGCAAAATTGTTTGTTCTGAGTGATTTTGTTGGTCTGGGGCTGATTTTAGTGCTTAGTTGGCTAAAATGTGAGGTGCAGTAATTTTTCTAAGTTCTGTTGTCGTAGTGTGATGTCATCAGTAGGCACAGCCCCCTGAGCCAGTCTACACTGATAAAGCTAATTCAAAGTCAGGCATACCCGTGGGCGGCTTATTGTTTAGTTTGATTAACTTTGGTTTAATGTTAGATTTTATTACTGTGCAGGTGCATAAAATGAAGATTTAATAGATGGTTGATTTCACAGTTCAAAACAGGTTCAGGTTTGAAAAGGTTGCACGTCAACTGATGCTATTATTGCATGTAAATATGATTAAAAAGCGTCTAGATATCAGCCATGAAAATCGTCCCAAAACATCAGCAGCACATGCTGGCATCGGTGTCGCCAATAAAAAAAAAACATCCGTGACTCTCTAAATTAGATAATTTCATGCATTTTGAATGGTAAACATTCATTTAACAAAATGTCATGAAGTCACACCTGAATCAGCTTTACTTATTTTTTAGTGTCAGATTATGAGGATTTTTGTTGTTGCTGATTGTAACTTGTGAATAACTGCGTGTGGTCGTTTTGCAGTTAAGAAAGTTGGATTTGGTTCAAGTTTTCTGGAACATACGTCAGCCTGATTTTGGGCTCAAGTTTTCACACATTTAGTGCCTTTACTTAAAGGGAATCTTGTTTGAAGACAGGGTCAAAAGCTGTTTTATCAGTTATATTTCTATAATTTAGACCTGAGTGCAGCCCGGGGGCCATTTACGGCCCTCAGAGAGATTTTGTGCTGCTCCTTGTTGAATTTCTACAATAGATTTGTCTCTTCAGCAGCTCTTCAACACTTTATCTTTTGATAGATAGATAGATAGATAGATAGATAGATAGATGGATAGATGGATAGATGGATAGATGGATGGATGGATGGATGGATGGATGGATGGATGGATGGATGGATGGATGGATGGATGGATGGATGGATGGATGGATGGATAGATAGATAGATAGATAGATAGATAGATAGATAGATAGATAGATAGATAGATAGATAGATAGATAGATAGATGATAGATAGATAGATAGATAGATAGATAGATAGATAGATAGATAGATAGATAGATAGATAGATAGATAGATAGATAGATAGATAGATAGATAGATAGATAGATAGATAGATAGATGATAGATAGATAGATAGATAGATAGATAGATAGATAGATAGATAGATAGATAGATAGATAGATAGATAGATAGATAGATGATAGATAGATAGATAGATAGATAGATAGATAGATAGATAGATAGATAGATAGATAGATAGATAGATAGATAGATGATAGATAGATAGATAGATATGCGTATATGAAGCATTTTTTGACCCGTGCAAATGAAAAACCATGCCAGTAAAAGGATGTTTGCATGTTTTAAATAAGAAAATCTTAATTTTGTGTCCCGCGAGAACTTTTAACCTGACAGTTTCGGCCCTCATCTTGAAAAGTTTGGACACCCCTGAGCTAAACGTGCCAAACTCCTCGGTCTAAAAGATCGGTGTCATCTCTCCTGATCCATCCTTCCTTATTCTACTCCTGTGGTCTGATAGATAAACTGTCGCCTTTTTGATAGATGAAGGGCAGAAGTCAGCAAGGAGCCCTTAACATGACAAGAAACGAGTATTGGAACCGAGATGCCTTGGATACAGTCAACACGAAACATATCGACAAGCATTCTTCACCACATTCCTCCCAATATCAAAAGGTGCCTGTTTGAGGATCTCCTTTAGAGCATTTACACCCATGTTTGCATCCTGACCCTCTGGGGCAACCGCAATAACGTCGGACTCCCTCCCACTGCCTGCCCCTCACTGCAATGAGCACTCTCAGTTTTTATTTAGCCGGGTTGTGTGCCTTCCCAGTCCGGCCGCTTTTCAGATTCATTTCCAGGTAAACACAGCGTGGCCAACCACAAACCTGCAGCCAACAGGCGTTGTCACAGCTGTGGCAGATAATGGCAAGTCCAAACTCCAGCCCGGCTCTGGAATGTTTACTGTCACCACAGGAAAGTTGGCAGTAAACATCTTTTTTTCCAGCACTTTCCAAGAGAGAGACTCTCTCGTTATTAATTTTATTTTGATGAATTACATGCTTAACCCTTTGCCCTTTGCTTCTTTGTGTGGCCTGGTGTACTGAAAGGGGAACAAAGGTGCAAAAAACAGGGGGTGTAACAGTCTAAGTGGATCTTTTACTTTCTGTTGGGAAAAAATACTTACTTTGAAAGCTGAAACTGAAAGTTAACACATTCCTGTCAACAACTGCTGGGTGTTTGAAGGAATGTTCAAGGAGTTTCCTGGGATCGCTTTGTTTCAATCCCCCGCTTTCCCCCCTGAACTTAGGGAAACCTTTCAGTATCATTAAACTTTTAACACTTCTTTTGTAAAGTAATACTTAAATGTGTCAAATGTAACACCGACCATTATGGAAACTATCTGATGAGGTGAAGGGAATCGGGGTGAAATGACTTTACTGGAAGCTTTAATTTAGGAAACGAAGTTATTAGAGAATTCAAGTAAAATGCTCAAAATGATCTGAATCGTTTTATTGTGGTACAATAAAGCTTCCAGACGTAAAGAATCAAATGAGCTTTCCCAGCCCAAAAAGAAAGAAGGCGAATATTTTGGAACGATTTTGTGATTAAAACGGAAATTCTAAATGAAAAAACCTTTATTGTTCGCCACATTTTAATATTTAACTTGGCACGTTTTCCTTTCAAGTAATTAAAAAACAAAACAGTAACAGAACATTTAATATTCACTTTAGATTCTAAACAAACTCAACTAAACAATGACCGATGAAGCTTATGCCAGCAAAATCATCAGTGCAGTTATTATTGTGGAGTCTAGGTGAGAAAACACAAAATAAGATAAAAGCTGTGTGGAAAACCACAGATTTGTTTTTGACAAAACCCAAAATGTGGCCTTCACCTGGTGGTGAGGACGGGTTGATGATTAACAGAAGGAGCGACGTGTCTCATTCTGGAACATTATGTTAAGGTCGTTGATTTATTTTTATGTTTGAGGTTTAAAAATCAACTAAATATTTGTGTCTGATCATTTAAACTGAAGCAGCTGCACAACAACAAAAAACAAACAAGGGTTTCAAACCCTGGAGATTTTGTTCCAGTGCAGAAAATCACCGTATAGTTTTTGGGGTTTGAAACATTTTTAGTTAATCGTGTAACAAACAGTCGGTCTGTGCGTCCGTGCATGCACAACGAGGTTTGACTCAACGAGAATACTGACGTCAGTTCACTGGTCAGAATGATCATTTATTATAAAATGTAACATCCAAATGAGATGTGTGGGTTAATTGGTAATTTAAAAACGAACGAAACCGAGTTTTGCAGAAAATAGAACAAAAAAGTGACAAAAAATGTCTCTTTTTAAACCTGACGCAGTTTGAGTCAGCTCCGAGAAGGCGCAGACTTGTGCGCCTGCGGCTCCCCGCCGGTGCAATCCCAAATCCTCAAACACAGAAAGCTTTTTTCTCATGATCTCATTTCCAAGTTAAGCAGACTCTGTTAGTCCCTCGTCAACACGACAGGTTTACTCGCCTTTACTAATGGGGCTCTGTACTGATAGTTATGCTCCTGCGTAAATATGCAGTCAAATAGATGTACAACCACCGACACGTGGCTGACACCGCTCCGCAGCCTCACCTGGATGTTTGTTTCATACAAATACTGTACGCGCGGCGCTAGTCAGGGGCCCTTTTAGCGCCCCGGTTCTCCTGAGCCTCTTTAACAGAAAAAAGATAAACAGATTATACAAACGTTGTTGTTTAAAGTGACTCTTAAACCAATAGAAACAAAATCGTGTCTGCAAATGGGGAAACAAACGACCAAATGAAGAAGTTGGATATTGATGTTAATATGCCTTAATTAAATATTTTTTATCAATTCACATTTTCTTGCTTATATGGTTTGCCACAAATTCATTAAAATTGCACACACACCTTTATTTTAGCGTTTGAAATAAAACGAGCAGCCTTGCATGAAAGAGCAATGCCAGTTAGGTGTAACGTCCAACAGAGGGCGCTCTGAAGCTGCACGTGCGTTGCAAATAAATTTACCCAATTAAAAAAGATAAAACATTAATTCAGTAATTCAAGTGGAAAAACCGATTCATTTTTAGAGTTTTTATGGAATTTTACTGTTGATAATTTAAAGAAAATATCACATAAATTCAGTTTTGACTTTAGAATTGAACATTTTGAAGATTAATATTTACATGTATATATTTGTATTTTGCATTATTTGACTTTTAATATTATAAAAATAACATTTAATCAAACTCTAATCCCTATCTTCCTCTTATAAAACCTTTGTTTTTTATTTTTAAATTGAAAATCTAACATTTTAGTAATTTGTAATGGATAATTTATCCCCTTTCTCCTAAAACAAAGTAAAATTTATAAACATCTGTTTAGTTTCACTAAAATCACCCCTGTATTAACTTATGTCGATCTGAATAAAAGAATAAACTTACAGGATAAGATCATAAATGTTTTTAACAATAAAAACGGATTATGATCTGAGTGCAGATGAGTGGAGTCAGGTCGTTGGAGGATGTGCGTAAAAGCGCACAGAGGAAGGGTGCCAAGCATTCCTTTTATAGTTCCTCTTTTTTTACTCCCCTACAATAAGATCAGTTTTATAATGAAGCTTTTCATATGAAACTGTTCTTTTCAGTGCGCGCAGGTGTACCATTGGGTTTGTGGTGGGTGGTGGTGATGGTGGAGGTGGGGTGGGGGAGAAGCTTGAGGAGTCTCACGCCTAGGTGCGAGGAGATTATTCAAATAGGGCCCAAGGCGTAGAAGTAGGGATTGGAGGCTTGCCTGGTGCACAGAGCTATATCACAGCGTTAACAAGCAGCGCGTCATTTGGACTCCAGTCACTGACAGGCGCATCACGGCTGCCTCCCAGCGACACACATGCACCAGTTCTCCACGAAGGGACACAACGACAACCCACACGCACTCAGTGGTCCCCAGTCGCTTGTTATTAGAGAGACACTTTTGGCTTTTCCTCTGCTGGGAGACGCTTTGTGAAAGTCCTCCATGATGCTTGGAGCAGTTAAAATGGAAGGACACGAACACACCGACTGGAGCACCTACTACGGAGAGCCTGAGGTGGGTACCTTAAATATATATTTTTCCCGTCTAAAGCCGATCCCATTTTATACAACTCAATATTAGCCCTGAGATAATATTAACTTTGTGATCAAATATTGACTTGAGGCGCCTCCAAATCCTCCCCCATCTCCACGCAGCGCGCTATTAAAGTTGCCTGACATGTAGTAAGGAGGGGGAAACTTCTCACTCGGATAATAAATCAGATTATTTATTTATATTTTCTTTAAATAAACACGTGTGGTGTTTGATTTTTAGGGATGAGGGCTCCAGTTTTCGTAAAGGAGGCGTTTCATGTGCGGAATTTAAAGGGATCGCGCGTTTCAGAGGATTATTTACCACATTATTTGTCATCATATTCATAAATATTTGTTATTTTTTGATTACACGCTCCTCCATTTTTACATGGCATAAACTTCAAACAGCTGATTTATTAATTTTTTGTTAAATATTACAACAATGTTAAGGAATTATTACAGCAGGTGTTTTCTTTGCCAAACTCATGGATGTGCTTTCCCTTCTCTGACAGTGTTACACCTCTGTTGGCAACATGAACACAGGCCTGGGAATGAACTCTATGAATACCTACATGAGCATGTCCGGAATGAGCACCACGGCCAACATGACGGCCAACTCCATGAACATGTCCTACGTCAACACCGGCATGAGTCCCTCCATGACCGGCATGTCGCCGGGCACCGGGGCCATGAACGGCATGGGCGCAGGCATGACGGCCATGAGCGCAGCTCTGAGCCCCAGCATGAGTCCCATGACCGCGCAGCCCGCGTCCATGAACGCCCTCACGTCCTACACCAACATGAACGCGATGAGCCCCATTTACGGACAGTCCAACATCAACAGATCCAGAGATCCCAAGACTTACCGCAGGAGCTACACGCACGCCAAACCTCCCTATTCCTACATTTCTCTCATCACCATGGCCATCCAGCAGTCTCCCAGTAAGATGCTCACACTGGCTGAGATCTACCAGTGGATAATGGACCTGTTCCCCTTTTACCGACAGAACCAGCAGCGCTGGCAGAACTCCATCCGCCACTCTTTGTCATTCAATGACTGTTTCCTGAAAGTGCCCAGGTCTCCGGATAAACCCGGAAAGGGTTCATTTTGGACTCTCCACCCAGACTCCGGGAACATGTTTGAGAACGGCTGCTACTTGAGGAGGCAGAAGCGCTTCAAGTGTGAGAAGAAGACGGCCATGAAGGATCCCGGGCGCAAAGGGGGAGACGGGGCATCATCTAACTCCAGCTCAGAGAGCTGCAACGGAAACGAGTCCCCGCACTCCAACTCCTCCTCCGCAGACCACAAACGGTCCCTGTCAGACATGAAGGCGAGTCAGGCCCTGAGCCCGGAGCACGCCGCCGCCTCCCCGGTGTCTCAGGGCCAGCACCTCATGTCGCAGCATCACTCTGTCCTGGCGCACGAAGCGCACCTGAAGCCGGAGCACCACTACTCATTCAACCACCCCTTCTCCATCAATAACCTCATGTCTTCGGAGCAGCAGCACCACAAAATGGACCTTAAGACTTATGAGCAGGTGATGCACTACTCTGGGTACGGCTCCCCCATGGCCGGGGCGCTTTCTATGGGCCCAATGACGGGAAAAGCCGGGCTGGATTCTGCGTCTATACCTGACGCGTCTTACTATCAAGGCGTCTATTCAAGGCCAATCATGAACTCCTCATAAACATTCTGCATGTTGGACTTTTTTCCTTGTTTTATTTGTATATTTGTAAAAACAAATCAACACCAACAACATCAGAAACAAACAAAAAATATAGACTTTGTGTACAAAATTGTATTTCAGATATTTTGACGTTTCCCACCGTTTTAGTTGTCAAGTTTATTAGTAGCCTGTTTATTTTGAGGAAGAATGTTGATTATTAAAAAAATCAAATAATAATAATAACATCAACAACGTGACAAGGAATGGACCCCAAAGACACACAACAACTTGCTGTAAGATAGCTTATTTCCGCTTTACGGTATTCCTAAATGACTTTAAACGCATCACAGGATTTGTTCAATCATTTGTGTAATTCCTATTTATGGCTTGTATATGTGTATTTCTTGTAGTGACAAGAACAGAATCTATATTAAAGTGTTATTGGTTTTGTTTTCTGAATATGATGGTGTTTTATTATTATTATTATTTTAATTATTATTATTATATTAGGTTTTTGCTTCGCCATTTTAGCGCTAACTCAAATTCAGTTCCACACAAGCAGAAAATTATGTTATTTTCAATAAATTTTATTAAATAAACACTTCAAATAACAATGATAAATTTAAAGGGAAAAAAGTACAAACAAATATTAAATAAACAGTAATTGACTCCCACATTCATGTAATAACTTAGTGGAAATTTCCAATTTTCTGGTATAAATACTAGATATTTATGGGTTTATTTGTTTTAAATTATGGAATTTATTCTCATCCACGCGCTTTTTTCCAATAAGGCCCCATACTTTCAGTGGGGGATTAATAGCTTTGTTGGATAAAACCGAGAACAATGCTCTCAATTTGTCTCTCAGGAAATGTAAACAAAACAAATATATGCGAATTAATCCCAAACAGAAATGGATGCATTGATAGGAGAGCAGAAACACGTTTATCCAGTTGGAACCGAGGCTCTATGCAAGACATTTTGGGTGGAAGGAAAGGGAATCAGGTTTTAACATATGACGTACAAAACGTTTTTTGAGGAGTTGTGCGCATGGCAATTTTGCGCAAATTTGCTTGCTAAACACAAGATAGATTGGCAGGAATAACTCAAAATGCCTGTCAATCATCCAACCCACCTGTCTGTTTCACCCACACACACAAACACACACGCACGTAAACTTTAGATCAGAGCGTGAGATTAAGTGGCATTGTCCCATGAAACAGCCCCCCCGCAGCGCAGGAGAATAGCAGCAGGAGAAGGCGGCTGATTTGGTAACACAGCCTCCTGAATGTGATGCTCTAACTTCTCTCCTCACAATCTGGGGCTCCATTGTCTGCTCCCGATTTTTAAAATAGTCGGACCCTCCCTTCTTGTTAGATACGACATGTCTCCATGTCATGCTTCCACCCCCAACCAGCTCAAATCCAAGGCCTCGGAAAGAGGATCGGGGACGCGCAGTTTCTCCTCTCTTCCCCAGCCAAACGACTTCTGAACACGTAGGGCCAAAAGTGTGCGTTTATTCTCCAGACCCTCTTTACGGATCACACTTTAAACAGCGTGATCTGCGAATAAACAAAGCCAGTAAACAATGGAGTGGAGGCTGTGCCCGCATATAGGAAGGGTACACACACAAACCAAATTGCACAAGAGTAAACTTTGAATAGGACGCAGCAGCTCTGTAAATTTACACAGACATTAAATTTCGTTCTATTCATTTTAGACATATAATGCTAAGCTGATTTTTTTATAGCACACTGATCGATATCTCTGTAAAATAATCATTTTTTTAAACTAGCGTGGCAGTGAAATCTTTGCTTTGTGCTAAAGTCAACAGTGACAGAGTTTGAGCTCAAATAAATGCTGTGATGTCTGGAGCCCTTTGCAGAAGGCAGAAGGCAAGCTCCTACAATGAGCTTCTGTGAGGCTTGCCAACAACATGCACCGGCTATTTTGCAGGTATGAAGCTTTTTATTTTAACAAAACGCTCCGTTTTCCTTCAACTGAAGCGCTGTTCTCCATTTTTCATTTTGGGGGTGGGGTGAATTTGATGGGAATTCACGGACATGCACAAGGGGGGTACGGCTGATATCCCGAATTCATGGGAACGCAGATGTATTGGATTTTCGCGACAGGGTGGTGCAAAGCTGAGAGGATCTGCAGGTTGTGTGATGAGTTGCAGGAGTTGCGTGATGGATAGAGGAGATGCTGCGCTACAAAAAAGCTGCAAATGCAAAATATAGACTTTCTGATAGGATTTTATTTATGTATTCCACAAGTTGCAAGTTTATTAGATATATTTGTTGCCTGAAATTAGACTTGTTCGGAGACAGATGGCTCAGTGTGCACAAGGAAGACTTGCTGTTGGATATTTCTTGCAGTGTGCGCCTGATTGATATGTTGCCGCACAGATGTCATGAAAAAGAGCCTTTTTGGAGCCCCGCAACCTCAATTGTTTTCCGTTAAGCTGAACTTCTATTCGATTTGGCTCTCTTACATTTAGTTATATTGATATTTTTACAACAGATGATGGAAATTTCATTAATATGAATGCAGTTCAGTGCGTAAAAGTATGTTTGTGCAGCAGCAATAATAATAATAATAATAATAATAATAATAATAATAATAATAATAATAATAATAATCTACTGCTGTAAACCGTTTTCTCCGGGTGCGTCCCATCCCTTTGATGCTGGCGGGTTTTCACTCCGGCAATGGCCCCTCTCGCGCACCATAAGACCAGAACGAGCTTTCGGATCTTCACCAGTTCAAAGGTAACCAGCATCCATCTGTTCTAGTGCAGGGGCCGCAGCTCTTGCTCATCTCCAAACTTTATTCATGCTTTTCCAATCATTCCTCTGCTGCCCCGACCATGCGCCATCGGAGACGCGTTGTTATAGCAACTGAGAGAAAGGATGTTGATCCTTTAGTGGGCCGCTAACCTGATTTCTCTGCATTTCATGAGGCCGAATTAGCATATTTCTTGATTAGGGGCCTGGAACTCAGACTTTTTTTCTCACATTGGAGACAAAAGGAGACGCATCTTTTGCACTCAATCGGACCTCATGCAGGAAAATCACACATCCACATTTAGGAAGGAATTTGATAACATTTGTTGTACATCAAGAAAGTGGAAAGCTTTTCTCTTTTATTCAGTTGTATTATTTTTAAAAAGAGAAGCGATGTTGCAACAATTTAATTTGCTTTTTTTTGTCTTTTAATGGCGCCTAATTGTGCCGATCTTAGGAAGTGAGACATTTTAATGCCCAGGCGAGTTTGGGCCTCTGTTTTTAAAGGATGACTCAGTAGGCTACCTGATATAAGCCACAGACTCATCCACCCATGGGCGTCAGCTCATAGCGCAGGGATCAGGATTCCAACAGGTCTATCAAAAAAGCAACCTTTTAAAATTGCACTTGTGCAAAAGAATAAAACTAACTAATAAACAAAAACAAAACAAACAAAAAAATGCAAACAAACAAATAAATTAAATGCACAAATATGAATTCATCAAATCAGGTGAAATTAGTTCAGGGAGTCACGCCCATAGAGCTCTTGATGCACCTTTGGGCTCCGCGCTGCAACCCCGCGGACTGGAACACCCAAGTAGATGCGTCTCTATGGCGACGGCGGGACACCGGTCCAACAAGCTGTAATTCTGTCTCAGCCTTTTGCAGGGGAGGGACCGTCCACACTAGCCCGACTTAACTCCTCTTTCACCAGAAATACTCCTAATCCCAAATCTTAGGAAGGCAAACTGAAGTCCCTCAGTATATTAAAGGGACCACAAAGTCAGAACTCAAAGCCACCCAGGGTTTCACAGCAGGCGGCCCGGTCCCGGTGAGAGACGCAGCACTGGCCCATACTGTCACCTATCGGTCTGAAATCTGCACGCAGATTATTCACAGGAAACGAAAAATGCACAAATTCTTTATAACAAATAATTCAAATGTTTAAAAAAAAAAAATAAATTTAAGAGCAGAAAATGTAAAATTATTTGGGCTCAAATTAAAGTGAAAACGCTTTAAACATTTTAGATGTAAATGAGGTTTATTATAATCAAAAGCTCTTCTTGCTATAATGACTTTGCATTTTTAAATTTGCAATTTAAGTTGTTATGTAGATAACAAATGGGCTATAAAGGCCCGTGTCAGCAACTTAAATATTAAAATACATTCAAATAAAATGAATAGGTTAAATAAAAGTGGAGTACATTTAAAGGCAAATTCCACCTATTTTAAGGCAACATGCAGGTAAAATTTAGGCCAAACAAACCCAAACGTTCATGCACTTTGTAAAAAATCTATTTAAACTTTTATTTCTTCAACCATGTATGTTTTAGAAACTATACTCTAGTTGTGTTCATGTGGACTTAAATTATTATTTGCACTCCATTTATCCTACTCAGAATAAAAAAAAGCTGCAGGAAAAGTCCAGGCACATCGTATGTGCAAATATTTATTTGGATTTCTTGGTCTTTTCTTAAAATTCACAATTCTGCTCACGTTTAATAATTAAAACTGCTTCGCCTGACAAAAATTAAACTTGTTTATAAAACAAAACAAACAAACAAACAAACAAACAAACATGATAGGATGAATAGGTTATTTTAAATGTAAAATGAAAACATGCATTTCTTTTGATTTTGTCTTTCATTCTTTCTACGTTAAATACAAAAACAACTAGAAATGCTTTGAGCGAAGCATCCAAATAACTTTTACATTTTAAAATTATATTCTCGATAATCTACTGGATATAATTCCATGACCTGGAATCTGCAGGTCATCCTGATGATGAAAAGAGGAAGGCGAGTGCGCAAAAAAAAGCGAGAGAGGCAGAAGAGGGGAGAAAATAGAGGGATGGCACGATGGACAGGGTGAGAATGCGGATGCTAACTGTGATGTGTCTGTACTCTTCTTGACACAACTCTGTGAAATTCCAGTGCAGGACTCCTTCATGTCCGGTGAGGGAAAAGAGAGGGAAGGAGGACGATCCATCAACAATGCCCATTGAGTTACTGTGAGGCAACAGCTGGTGGGATGCGCCGTGACGTTCAGGCGGTCTATTCAGGCCTGGACGGGCGCCTCTCATGGCCCTGCTGCTTTTATATCTTTGGAAGTGGATGGATGGTTCAGTCCCATCATGCAAACAGAAGAGAGAGACAGTCTCCACCAAAACCAGTCCAATCAGAAACCAGAACATCCAACTGAATTAAAGTTTGGAAGATGAGCCGTCCGTCTTATGATGGAGATAAAACGGAATAACTGTCAAAACTTTTGTTTCACAGATGCACTGAGGCGAGGCTCTGCCCCAGAAGGGAGGAGGAGGAATTAGTTTCTCAAGGAAAAGCAGAAATCATACACAGCGTCAATGCAAGATAATAAAAATGTGATCAACCAGGCAGAAATATCATATATGGAGATTAAAGGTGCTCAGAAAGTGATGTTGGGTATGAGCACTCT